TGAGGCTTCACAGACTGCGGAGTGTACTATGGACGGAGGGGTTCCCAGCTCTGCCGCTTTCTCACCAGTTAATAAACAATCAAATTCCAGAAGGCGACATCATTCTATATTGTTCCAGAGAAAAAGACCCGTTCTTGCCGGCCGGACTCCCAGCGAAGATAGTCTCGAACGTCCTGAAGGAACAAGTTCTTTTATCAAGTCCAACCGCCCTCGCAGCCCCTCCTCAGATTCATCTTCTTCTCGGTCTGGCTTCCGGCGCGGCTATGAGCGACCATTTAGGAATGGACGATCCTCATTGAAGTATGACGGCCCTACTGCCAGTGAATATAGTAAAAGCGGTCGTGACAGTCACTTTCGCACTGAAACGTGGGCCTCATACCTGGCCAAACACCAAGGAGGTCGAAAACCAAAAACAGTTGAAGATACTTCGAAAACTGATGATCATGACCAGACTTGTCGTCCTCGTCGTGTTTCGCCTGGTCGAAGATTGCTACATCACAAACATGATCAAATGCGCAGACTTACTTTACTAGATCGCGTTGTTTTGGGTCTGACGTGTAGCGTTTCACAGGAGGGGGACCAAATACACATCAAACAACTCCATGCTGAGGATCTTAACATTTTAACACAGCGACTCACGGAAACGGGCTTTTTCATACAGTCTCTCGCACTAAAAACAAACGCTAATAACGAGGCAGAATACAATATTGTGCTCACATATGCTCCAAATTTTGACGCTGAGAGTCGACGATTCCATCGGTTTAACTCTCCATCTTCGAGAGATCACAACGAAGCGGGGTCTAGGACCGTTCTGCACTCAGTCACTCAGACTCGGGACCTCGATGTCAGTCCTTCCAACTCTGCTTATTTAGATCCACTGAAGTCATTTAACTACAAAAAGAATTCAGAGTTTGGAACCCAGGTACATGAACATGGTTTCCTTGGTGAGGTTAATGGTCGTGGCAGTAGTGGCGCAGCCGTTGCAGTGGATGGTGCTAAATTCTCAGCTGCGCACTCCGACGACGATGAGTTGTTATCGCTCTCCTCTA